CTGCAATCCCTTCTCCTCCATTCTCCTCTCGGGATCTTGGGCACGCATGCGCACGCGCCCGGCGTGAGTTTTAAGCCACCAGGTCCGGGACGTGAACCGCGGTCGACTACGTGGGAGTCCAGTGACATAGCCATTACGCTAACTGCTGGTTCCCAAACCAGAACTTTTAAAGGATCTGTATAACAGGAACAAACTTAGGAGGAGAGCTGGAAAATTTCAGAATTAAAAAATCAGAGGGTAAGCCTTTCTGTTGCATTTTTTCTTTTCTTCTTCTTCTTTTTTTTTTTCCAAACACGTGCACTTTATTGAATCCCCTTGTAGTCAAAGTGAGGAGAAGCGGCTGTATAATAGCAAGGGGCAGGCCAGCAGTGGGGGTGGACATGGCTGCAGCATGGCCATTGACTATGAGCCTTGGAAAGACTTCCATCTGTTGAGTCATATCTGCAATTATTACTGGGGCGCGGTGAAAGGATGATGAACATGACGGTCAGAATGAGGCCGATGACCAGGGCGAAGATGTTCAGGCACTTGGCGGTGGAGGCGTAGTTCTGGGCCCCGATCACGTCGCCCACCATCTTCCTGTCCCTAGACTTCACGGAGCAGGCGAATGCGACGAAGCCCAGGCAGCAGTAGTTCATGAAGACCGTGTTGAACACGGACCAGACCACGTGGTCGGGCACCGAGGTCTCGCTGCGGATGTTGATCACGGTGGGCGCCATCGGAACCGCGGGCGGGGCGCCCCCAGCACAGACACCTCGTGCTCTTCCTTGAGCATCTCATAGTTTGGGGGAGAGCCGGTGCTGGCGCGAGTGAAGAGGGTTGGGGAAGCGTGATTCATGGCGCACACGGCTCTGATGGCGGGGCGGGCTGCTGGTCTAAAAGTTGTTTCGGTATCTCATTAGTTTCCTTTCCTGGCTTTTGGCAAATTGGCAAACAGCCTTTCTACTGTTAAGAGCAAAGGAAGAAAGTTACCTGGGAGGAAGTCAGGGGTGCTCCCGGTTAAAGCTCAAAGCGAGTGACCTCTCTGTGGTGAAGGCGACCAGAGCCCTTCTCAGAGCGGCTGAATGACGCCGGACAAGGCTTAGCTCCAGGACAAACTCCTGCTTAGTGCTGTGGGTAGGCATGGCAGATGAAGAGCCAGATCCCACAGAGCAGACCACAGTTCAAATCCTGGCCCCGATGGCTTGAAAAACACAGGATGGAGAAATGGAGGCCTGAGGCTCACAGCATGACTACGCTCCATCGAGGGTGCTTTCTCTCTGTCGCTTTCTCTTTCTCTCTCTGGTGAGCACATGCACCCTCTGGCAAGTCAAGATAAAAATATTAAAAAAGAAAGAAGAGGGACCAGCGAATCGTGTAATGATTACATCACTGAATTCCCACGTAGTCAACCGCAGTGCAGGTTCTGGACCCGCTGGCTTAGAACTCACACCGGGTGTGTGTGTGCGTGCGTGCCCAAGATCCCCAGAGGAGAAAGGAGAAGGGATCGCAGCGTGGCCATCCCCCCTGGAGGGTGATTCCTTACTTTCTGTTTCTCTGTCTCTGTCTCTTTAGTGAGCCCATACACCCTATAGCAAAAATATCTCTCTTGCAAAAACAAACAATAAAAGGAAACAAAAAAGAAAGAAGAAGCTTTGACTTGGGGTTAGTACTGAATAAGGTTAAAATCATGCAAGGGGGGGGCACAGGGCTGGCTGGTGCACTAGCCCCCCCGCACGTTGCGCATCTGCTGAGTGAATCTCTGGTGGGGTCCACGTGACATACACAGGAGAGGGCCATGCGCACCCACAGACATGCTTCACCTCCAAAGCCCACGCTGCAGTGTCCTCTTCCCTGCAATGAGGAGAAACGACAGAGAGAGACGAAAGATAACCAGCCAGAGAAGTTCTCTCCCTCACCTTCCTCTCTCAGAGGACCAAGGAAAGATGTTCCAAAGTGAGGTGAGAGACGTTCCAAACACCGAAAATCTGCCAGACAAGAGCGGCTGAGAGCCTGGGACTGAACCGGTTAGAACCAAGATGGTGCCTGGAACCACCACTGCCTAACCCTCATTTTGTGGTAGTGGCATGCTAGATGACCCTCCCATCTGTTCTGGGACAGTTTCTACCCTAAAAGGGCCAGAAAATGAGAGGGATGGTGGGCCCATGAAAATCACCACCCTTTTCCAGAAAAGTCATTAGCCTGGCATTAAGCCACACCGTATAAGCCAGACACTCGCCGAAGGTCAGGGCTGCCCTTCTAGTTCCCTCTCAGGTAACAGCTCTCCCCTGCCTCTCAGGGGAAGGGACAGAACTGCTCACCCACTGCCCTCACGCAGCTGCTCCACCAGAGGAGGAATCTGCTCTGTACACTTCCCCGTAAACTCGCTCCCACTCTCCTTCCATGACTTGCTCTTGTTGCCTCTTTTCTCCCCACTTCAAGGTCCACTCTAGTTCTGAAAGCCTGAGGAGTCAGTTTTATTCTAAGCTGAGGCAAATCGGCCTTTGGGAGTGGCATTAACCGCACACCCCTATTCTGCTTTAGCCCTTTGGAAGTGGTCAGTTCATGACATGGTTCTCCGTGATTCACACCTCTAAAGTGTCCATTTCAGATCTCACTCACTCAGAAAAGTGAAGTAATGAAACAAAGAAGTAATTATGCAAGGGAAGAAAAGTCTGAGATTTTGTAATTTCAGGATTTCGTTCATTCAGATCCTGTTCCCCTTTCTGTTGCTCTGTCACAAATCACCACTTTAGCTGCTTAAAAATAACCATTTAATGGGGCCAGCAGATGGCAGAATGGTTACATTGCTGAACTCCCACATAGTCGATCATGGTTTGAGTCCCAGACCCGGCTTAAAACTCACATTGGGCATGTGTGTGTGTGTGTAAGAGTACCCAAAATCCCGAGAGGAGAATGGAGAAGGGATTGTGGCATGGCCATCCTCTCTGGGGGATGATTTCTAGTTTTCTGTCTTGTCTCTCCTGTGAGTGTATGCGCCCTATAGTAAAAATCTCTCTGTTAAAAAAAAAATTAAATGTGTTTATGATTTACTGGGACTCTGGAAGGGCTTAGCTGGGTGGATTTTTATTTTTTTTGAGAGGTTTTCACTATAGGGTGCATGCGCTTGCCAGACAGAGAGAGACATAGAGACAGAAAGCGAGAAATCACCCCCCAGGGGGGATGGTCACGCCGCAATCCCTTCTCCTCCATTCTCCTCTCAGGATCTTGGGCACGCACGCACATGCACCTGGCGTGAGTTTTAAGCCACCAGGTCTGGGACGCGAACCATGGTCGACTATGTGGGAGTCCAGCGACATAGCCATTATACTAACTGCTGGTTCCCTAGCTGGGTGGTTTTGATTTGAGGCTTCTTATGGGACATAATCAGGTGTCAGCCATGCTGGACCTGAGCTGGCATGCTCAGCCGGCTGGCAATGGGTGCTGTCTGCAGCCAGGTGCCCAGTGGGGCTGTTGACGGGACTCCTCCACATGGGCTTTCCAGTATGGCAGCCCTTGTGCTACTTCCGTGGCCACTCAGGACTCCCAGCACGTTCAGATCATGGCCCAGCACTCTGCTGGTTGAAGCAGTCACTAGCTTACCCAGATTCGAGGGGGAGCTGACACAGATCCTACTTATCAACAGCAGGATTGCCAAGGTCAGAGTGTTGAAGAGCAGGTGAGATAAGAGATACTGCTTCCATCCTGAAAAGAACCTATTGTCCCGCCATCCCGTTGCCTGCTTCTTCAAGAGCCGTGCCACACCCAAAGTATGACCCGGTGGGGAAGAGCTATCAAAGACGCTTTCTCCACCTTTTATTCCTTAGTCCTTCTCTTCTCAATTGCTGTCCACTCTTCATGCACAACAGTAGTACAAAGGAACCAGCTGGCACAGTGCAGATTGCCTGTAATACTGATTCAGTTTTGGAGTTACTGTACTTTGTTACTCATTTTTATTTGAATTCTTTATTTAATTTTATTTGTTATTATTTTTTTAAAAAAATTATTTTTTGGAGAGGTTTTTGCTATAGGGCCCATGTGCTCGCCAGCCAGACAGAGAGAGACAGAGAGATAGAAAGCGAGAAATCACCCCCCAGGGGAGATGGCCACGCCGCAATCCCTTCTCCTCCATTCTCCTCTTCGGATCTTGGGCACCCACGCACACACGCCCAATGTGAGTTTAAGCTACCAGGTCCGGGACTCAAACTGCTGTCGACTATGTGGGAGTCCAGCGACATAGCCATTATGCCATTTGCTGGTCTCATTATTATTAACTTTAAATTTGACTAGGGAGAGAGAGGAAGAGAAAGCATGCAAGCAAGCTGCCAGGTTTGCAACTTGAACCGTGGTGAGCCACATGGGAGTCCAGTGCCTTAACCACCACGCTACCTGCTGGCCCCTTTGTTGCTAAATGTAAGACTCTGCGCAGTCGTTTTCTCTACTGCATGTTGCACAACAGCTTTGTTTCCCTAATGTTTATATCCAGGTTAAATGGTAATAAAGGGTAAGTCATCCTTTTCTGGAAGATAATTTGCAAAATTTCCAGAGTTGTAAAAGTACCTCTGGTAGGAAGTTGTCCATCTGCCTACAAGGGCCACCTGCCTTGGCAGGGAGCCCGCAGCCTCGACCCCCACAGCCCAGTGAGTGCTGTGAGCCACACAACTGCCCTTCCTCCCCCTCCCCTTCCCCTGGCCTCCTGACCATCCTATTGGCTTTTAAGAGTTTTTGAGTAGTTGCCTTGGCAAAAATAAATTTTCTATGCAGAATATAGAAACGCGTAAGTCACACTGAAATATTTCTAACTTGTACCAGCAGTTCTAGCTCTTGGCAAACTGTTTAGGAGAAATAGGTTAAAAACCCATGGAAGAAAAACAGATTATTTACTGATAAGTATCTTTTTGATATTTGCATATGACTAAACTGTTTTGTAACCTGATATAATTTAGGTCTGTCTCAAAACTGAAGGGAAAACTTACCAAAGAAATGAAATCCACAGTATTTTAGAAGATAGTAGGCAAATGCATGCACTTGCATGTGTATACTATATATGTATGTTTGTAACTTATAACTATTCTCTGGCCTGTCCCATGACTTATGAATAATTTCCATCCCCTTCACTGTTGAGAACTGGCTGTGTTGGCGTACATGTTTGCTCTGTCTCCTAGTCTACCTCCGACTGGTTTTTCTCCAAGCACATCTTCCCTCAAGGCCACGCGCAGTCCTTGCTGGTATCCAGACCACTCAGGCAGTGAGTAGAAGACGTAAATTGGGAGCTAGTTATGCCCTGTATTGGATTTTTCCATCCTGGAGTTGAAGAGCCATTTCCTTATGCTATGAATGCACTCATGTTTTATTTGCATACAAATCGCTGATGGTGTTTATCAAAATGCAGCTTCATGAGCCTCACCCCAAAGCTTCCCAGGACCCAGTGACCCTCAACTGCAGATTCCACTTGGCCAAGTATTCTCCTGATCCCAGCTGCCTCCACTGCCACCTGCTTCCTCACTTATTATGAGCATATACTTTCGGTTGGGTTGTGCCCTGATTGTTTTAAACTATGAGTGAGAGAGAGATGGAGAAAATTGAGGGACAAATACTTTCTTCTCTGCAGCTTTCGGTTGTTTAAGCACATGTCTGATTTCTTAGCCCAAAGAGTGTTTGGTTAGGAGTGGAATTGGGCCCAAAGAATCAGTTTATCAAACTTCTCTTCAGCTTCCCTCCAGCCTCTGGCCAGCGCCAGCGGGCTTCCTGAACCTGTGAAATGATCTGGCAACAAAAACACCTTTTAGGGGCACACCTAGGGAGGTGAGAGGTAGCACTCTCTTCCCCAGAGCTCTAGTGGTAAGGACTTTCTTCTAC